GGTACTTAGTGCTTTCTGTTACATTTTATGTATCCTAGTAGGTGTCCAGCAGTATCTCACAGCACACCTTTAAGCTGCACATAACCAGTAAGAGGTATGTTAGACAACTGTACCAAGTTTTCTGTGAAGTGTCTAAACTCCTCTGCATGCTTCCTCCCTGCATTATTTCATAAGTTGTGAGAGTTCTTTATATATTGTGGACATAAGCATTTTGAGTTGCTGTTTACAAAGCTTTTGTTTATAGCTTCCATTATCATCCTATTTAATAGGGTCTTTTATAGAATGAGTTTTCAATTCTGACAATGTTCAACTAAAAAAAAGAACTTTGCTGTCACTTGGAAGGGTCTTAGCTTAACTCTTTCTCGACACTTCCTTCTTCATTTTCTCCTAAGTTTTATAGTCTCACATTTTAATGGCCCATAATGAATTAAATTGTTTATAAAGCAGGTTTTGGCACAGAAGTTTTTGCTGTTGCTTTTGTTGATCGTTTGACTGTTCCAGTGTATTTTTTATTTTAAGAAAAAAAAACTGTCCCAAGACAATTCCTCCATTGTCTTGAACACTACTGTCAAAAATCAAATTTCCATAGAGCTATTGGTCTGTGGTTATCTTATCCCACTGATGTACGTGTTTGGCACCCAAGGAAAGAGTCCTGTGGCGGCAGCTCTGCGTCTTAGTATACTGTATGACGATCCTTCAATTTCACTGTTCTCAAGTGCTTCTGTGCCTCTTCAGTGGCTGCTTCATACACTTTAGAATCACCGTGTCACCTGCAACACATGCGCAGTCTCGACAGAAATCACATGAAATCTATGGAACCACTCGGGAAAACTAGTGTTAGAATGCTGAGGCCTCCAATCCACAAAAACGTGTTTCCACTCATGTTTTATTAGTGCTAGCCATTTTTAGCAAGTAAATCTTGTTTTGTTTAACTAAAGAAAAGGTTTTATTTGGGGTACCGACCTTTGATCTGCGATCTTACTAAATTCATATATGAGTCCAGTAAATTCTTGGTGATTGTTTGGGATTTTGTTAAGGACAAACTTATTACTTGGAAATACATGCAGTTTTCTTCCTTCCTTTTCAGTGTAAAAGTCTTGCATTTCCTTTTCCTATGCTGATGTGGGGTTCCCTTCTGTATGCTGTGAATACCATTAGTTAATAAAGAAACTGTCTTAGGCCTGTGATAGGGTAGAGTAGAGCTAGGCATGGAAAACTAAACTGAATGCTGGAAAAAAGAAGGTGCTGCGAGGGAGAAGCCATGAAGCTGCCTCTGGAGACAGTTGCGCCAGAACCTTGCCAGTAGGTCATAAGCCTCATGGTAAAATATAAAATAATGGAAATGGGTTAATTCTAGCTGTAAGAGCTAGCTAACAACATGCTTCAGCTATTGGTCAAACAGGATTGCAAGTAATATAGTTTGTGTGATTATTTTGGGAGTCTGGGCGGTCGGGAACACGCACAAGGCTACAACACTATGTCATTCAGTGTTTAAATGTACAACACCTCATTGAAAAAAAACTTGTAAAAGACAGCGGTCTTTACTCCCAGTCTTACAGAGAAAATATTTAGTTTTCATCATTAAATTGCTGTAGATTCTATTCACAGAGTTGGAAAAGTTTCCTTTCGTTTCTGAGGTTTTATTTTAAACCATAAATGGGAACTGAAGCTTGTCAAATGCATTATATTGATTGAATATTTTTTTCTAGTACAAAATATATTGGTTTTCAAATACTGAATCAGGCTTACAATTCTGGTGTAATTTGTGCTAATATTCTGTATATGTACTTATAAAGTACTAATCTCTAATGTGTCAGAGACACTGAACATTAGGGTGCACAGGAGTGCAACTATTACAGAGCAGAGGGAGCTTATATAAAAGTCCGGATTCTAACTGCAATAATGGTACCAAAAGCCTGTATGTAAATTTTACAGAGAGGAAAAAAACATTGGATTTGTAAAATGTTAGGACTACACCTAAATTAACAGTTCTGCTACAATATCAATTTCTTGTCGACAATTCACTGTGGTTCTGTAGGAAGAATCTCTGCCCTATATTTCACAATTTCTGCTAAGTCTTCAAGTATCTTGAAATGAAATACTACTAAAGAAAATTAATTATAAGTATACAAAACAATGAATACGAATTTGGGGGAAGACAATTTTGCCTATAATATGAGGTTGACCAGGGGTGAGCAAGAAAACAGAGAGCATCAGAGGCTCAAAGGGAAAGAGCATGAAAGCACCTCTATCCTGAAATAGTTCTCACTGATTACGAATAATCTCCTCCCCCTCCCCGCCACACACACCCTCCCTCAAACAGGAAAACGCATTACCAGGCAGACACATACATAAGGCATAACAAACAACTGTGATCTGATCATTTATGACACTCCATTCTACCACAAACTACATTAATTTCTCTGAGCTTCAAATTTATAATATTTATTTTTATTTTGTACGTATGGGTGTTTTTGCAGGTATGTATGTATGCATGTATGCGTATTTCTGGTGCTCACGGGAGCCTGAAGGAGGTGCCAGATGCCATGGCAGTGGTTAGAGAGGACTGTGAGCTACATGTGGTACTGGGAACTGAACCTAAGTTCCCTACAAGAGTAATGAGAGCTCTTAACAGAGCCAACTCTCCAGTCCCCAAATTTCTTTCTTGAAATGAAGTTTAAGTTTCAAAATCACTCCTAAAATCCTAATTTTAGGAAAAGAAGCTAATTTGAGAATAACTGAACTACTGTTCATACACTAAGTCCATCCTTGAAATAGTTACTCATCGACAGTTTGACAATACGCTTTCAGCGCACAGCAGCACTGACCTCACATTTCTGTTTGTTTCTATCTTCTGTGCCCAGAAATGGATGTTCTTATGATTAAAGGTCAGAAGACAGCCCTTAAGGACAGGGAACCCTGATTGCTTTTCGGGCTGAGTGGGGGGACTTAATTGGGGGAGGGGGAGGGAAATGGGAGGCGGTGGCGGGGAAGAGACAGAAATCTTTAATAAATAAATAAATAAATTAAAAAAAAAGAAAAGAAAAGATCCTATCTGCTGGATGAGAATGCAAGGTGCTGACTGGCAATGAGATGCTTTTCTGTTATACGGAAGCGTCTTCTTGCTTTAAGACAGTCTATGTGAAGCAGCATTTTGGATGTGTCAAACCTAAGTCCCCGGGAGCAGTGGGCATATCAGGAACACCCACGGTTGGAGTCTCAAACAACTGAGTGGATGTTTCACGCACAATAGTAAGCACAGCAGTGGCTGCGGCCCGTGCTGGTCAGGCATGTGGCAGGGCAGCCCAACACTGTCTAACTTGTGCTCCCTCTCTGAAGCGGAACTGTCATTCTCTCACTTGCCATTCCACAGTTCTAAACAGCGTGGGAACTTGAGGCATTTTTCTGACATTCAAGAGCAGGAAAGGAGGCAAAAGCATCACTTCACCAACGTCACCTTTTCCATTGGAAGCAGGGCCTTTTCAGCAAGCTTCTGTTCATTTCACTGGCCTAACCTTGTCAGATCTCACACCTATCGCTGTTACCACACATCATCCGTGCCTAAATCCATGTAAACCACAAAACCTGAGCTTCTCAGTTGCATTAAGAGTCCAGATCATGTCCAGTGCTCAATAGCCATGACTAAGAGAGCCAGACAAGGCAGCAAATGCTTTCCATCCAGCAAAAGCCGTCTTACCTGACTGCTGACCATAAGGAGCAAACCAGCTCTGCTCCCTATGAGTTACGATACCTCCTCTGGATTCTCGTCTAATCCCGAGAAAAGGAAGTTCTGTCACTACCTGAACAAAGTAACTCACTGTAAATAAAGAACAGAGATCGTCAGTGCACCTAAGCAGAAACTTATAAACTACTACGATTAACAATGTACTTCAAAGTACTTGGCAGGAAGTTACTTTAAAAATGACTTTAAAAAATAAAAGGAAACCAAGGTAAGCAGCTAGAGGAAGAACTAAATTACTTACCACACAAATACAAGTGCAGAAGTAAATTCTTCTCCAGTGACTGGTGGGGAGGACAGTAGAGGGAGAAAAAGTAACGGGACAATGTGCAGGCACTAAGTTCTTTATGGCAAACATAAACGTTTCATAATGCTGGAAATGCAGGTAGTAGGTTTGTGTACACAGAAAGTAGATCTTCATGCTCACAGATCAGTAGTGGAAAATTGTCTTCACATGGACAGAGTTAGTTCACAGAAGATACCATGTTTCCATTCATGACCCATGAGAGAATAAAGTGAAAATACCTATAACACTGAAGTTTAGATGAAACATTAAAAATAATTTACTGGTACAAAGAATTATTAAGAGTTAAAACTGGCTGGTAATGAAGACAGTTGCTGATTTTCTGCACAAGCCCTAGTGACAGATGGTGAATACAGAGCCCTGAATAGACAGCTGCCGAGTACTTAGTGCTCAGTCTTCTCTAACCTATATGCGAAATGCTGCTGAAGGCAGAATAATGGCTATGGACCACACACACAAAAAAATAATAAGAAACTGTAGTAAGGAGGTGACTGTATATGAGAACTGTAATAATTTTATTCCTAAAGACAGTTTAGATTTTTCCCTTCACCCCCAAAACAAAGTAGTCCCAGTGATAACAGTATCTTTCACTGATATTTCTATGATCCTAAACATATTTTCTGTATTTCACAATATAAACACAATGTGTAAAAAGGCCCATTTTACCTTCAAAACATTTTATGGACAAAATGTATATATCAAAAAAATTTCAGAGATATTACCAACTTTAGAGAATGGCATAATTAAGCAAGACTTATTATTAGATCAAATTAACATAATAAACATTCACACAGGCCACAAAACCCAGTCTGTCACTATAAAACATTCAAAGTAACTTGTTTCTGCAAGCTATAAATTTTGTAAATTTATCAACACTAATGAGAACTTAGCTGACAAAAGAGCTCTATAATAGCATACTAATTACAATATAACAAAAGAAACCTGGATTTTCATGCATGAGTTTAATAAATCATGGTTTATTTTTAAGGTAAATGGGGGCAACAAGAAGACAGATATACAATCAATAGGTCTTGAATCTCTCTTCCATGGACTCCCTCCAACTCCCTGCTTATCAATACAAGGCAAGTTGAGGTTTATTTAAACACATTCTTTATAACTGACCTCTTCAAAGAAAATGAATGCAAACAGCACTTGGCATTTAGTAAATAAGTCACAGGCCAAGACGTTCAGCTGTACAGTTTTGAAATCTAATGTCAAAGAGTCTCTGCAACCTTAAGACTGAGTGATCTGCAATGTTTCCAACATGTCTTCAACTGCCTTAAGAGAGTATTTGGTTTCCTTCTTACTTCGACCTGCAAACTAATTAGAAAGAAAAAAAGGAATTCAATTAGTCTCAAAATCACTGCAAAGTTCAAACATCACACTCATCATTATATTTTATTGCTAATAAAAATATGATTACATCATCTGTGTGTAATCACATGTGTTTTTCAATACAACAAACCCAGAGTTTTACGGACATTTGCATTAAATATTTCACTGCATGTACTTGGGCAGTTTAAGCTGATTTTAATTAGTATGATAACCTATAAAGGCTTAGATTGGATTTGAAAACTACCCTAGATCCAGACTCTAAAGCATTTATGGACCACTGTATAACTTAAAGGAAGTTTAAGCCATACATACAGAGGCCAGCAGTTGCTATCTACTTGCCTACCATACAAACAGATGTTTGGAATGTCAAGCAAGTGCACAAACGGAAGGACTTTAACTAAGCTTTTCAAAGTAAAAGTGCACACACTTTAACATTATTTAGAATAGGTCACATTTTTAACGTCTCAGATTTGTTAGTTAACTGGATGATATGTTTCTTGTTTATTCAGATTACAATTTATAGTGAAAACCAAAAACAATATATTAAGTTCTAGGTTTGTGTATACAAAAGTAAATTCACAATACTTTAAATTTCAAAACTCATGGACTTAAATCACTGGGGAATCACTGCTTAATACCCCATGCTGATTTCAAAATGAGTTTTCTAACTGTGCTGACAGTCACTACTGTTTACATTAGCTTGATTAAACACAACAGATTTACCAGATAAATGATTGCTTCTATGAGGGAGGGGGAAGTCTATTCTACCTGTAGTCCTTACTTTCCCATGGTCAAAGGATTGATTAAAATGTGATATTAACAACATCTAGTAATTCTAACACATTTTCCAGCAACTACCTTATGACAGTAAGTAAAGTAATACTTGATTTACTATGTGTTTATTTCTTTCGTAATTTCTGAATCTGGCAAACTATTCATGACCTGTCTAGAAAGACGGGATGAGCACACAGGTAACAGGAGCACAGGCTTTGTGACTGTCACCTCCTCTGACCTGCCTACGCTCACGGCCTCTCCTCCAGCATTAGGTGCTGCAGCTTAGAGTCTACTTGGCAGAAGGGACAATTAGAGTGCATATTAGCAATGGTAACATTACAGTAGTAAACACAGGCACTCTGCCTTCCATAATGCAACATACAGCTTAAGGAAGGGAAGTGGGAAAAATAGCAGTTACGGCTATGAATTATGGCAACATCATATTTAAAACTTCGTGAAAATAATTTCTCTTAGCAATTAAAGATTATAGAGAAGGTACGCGCCTTGCCCTATCATCCAGTTGATAAATTTGCCTTTGTGGGATTTGTCAAGCACAGAAAGGCTTTTCTTTTACTGCTCATTCAGTATAAACAGGAATGGCTCTAAGCACAACATTTATGGACTGATTTTGATAAAAAGTCTTGACAGGTTGGGGGAAAGGGTATAAAACAATTATTCTAATTTATTATTCTATAATTATTCTAATTTTATCTTAAGAGCAAAGTGAAAATAAAAATTTTGGGACACCTTAGCATCTATTTTTAAATATAAGATTGCTAAATTTACATATAAATATACTTTCAAAAGTAAAAGCATGGTTCTTCAAAGTTAGCTGGTAAAAATACAGACATTAAGATAGTGTCACCACTACTGACAATCACTACAACTTAGGACAAACCAAGTTACCTCAAACGTATGTCAAAAGACATTTAAAAAGTTGCAAATATAAATCTATCATTCCAAGTTCTTCCTGACACACAATTATCTAGTCTATTCCAGAATTATATGGCAATTGAACTGATTAAGCCAGGATCTCATTTTTTCCTCAAATCATGATTTAATTTTCCATTTTCCAAAAGGGCAGTAATAGATCCAGTTGGATAGTCATAATAACATATGGATCTGAGACAGACAAATTTAACAGTATATACAGAAAGTGTTGGTCTGGAAAATTGTCAGCAGATTTACAAGAAACTTCCAGTGCACTAAACCAATGTCTGTTCTCCTCAACACACTACACCAATTAGTTAAAGAGCAAGCAGTGGCCACGTTTTGTTTTATTAAGAGGAAGCAAAGAAAAACTGCTGATAAAACCCCATTTTTTCAAATTTATAAATATGTAGAAAAACACTGCAGTGACAAATATATATTTTATGTTTTATACTTGTTTATATGTCTTGATACACGTTCCTAAATTCTCAAATGGCTCTTAAAGCTTTATCTAGATACAAGAATGTGGGTCTGGAAGTTCTACTTCTCAGATCATTCAGATCCTGTGTTTACCCCAGTTATACTCATGTGAGCAAACTATTCATGCCTGGCTTGTGGATCTTAATTAAAACAACAACGACAAAACTTACCAGAAAGAACATAGGAACAACCAAAAATAAAAGCCTCATTCTCAAATGTAGAGCCAGTGATGCATCCACTGTAACATCAGTGAAACACTGTCCTTGTGGATCACCCAGTAAGAGTGAGAAATTGGGCCAGATATAGGGATGTATACCTATGCTCTCAGTACTCTGGAAGCTGAGTCAGGAGGACTATGTGCTGGGTGGTGGTGGCGCATGACTTTAATCCCTGCAGTTGGGAGGTAGAGGCAGATAAATCTCTGTGATTTCGAGTCCAGTATGGTCTGCAGAGCTAGTTACAGGACAGTCAAGCCTATACACTGAGAAACTTCGTCTCAAAAACTACACACACACACAAAAATGTATTCATGTCATATCAAAAGTCAATTCCTGGGTAGCCATTTCTAATAAATCTAAATAATCATATATTCTACACAACTTCACCTTGTGTTGTTATATTGTTCCTATCTTTAAAACACATATACACACACATACAGAAGAGATTTGGGCTATGCCAACTACATTTACAGAAACACAGACTAGATATTTATGAGCATTCTGAGTCATAATAAGCTAACAGAATAATATTTCCTATGATATATAACATATATAAATAAAGAGTATTTTCAACAGTATAATTAGGAGGCAAAGAACATTTTTAATAGTCCCAAACTTCTCTAGCTAACGATTACTAAAACAACATTCTAACAAATGAACACAAGAGAAAAATCAGCCCTCAAATAACACATTTCAAAAACATCATTCACAAGCAATTTTCTAAACATTCCAATGAGATCCTGTGGCCAATGGCAGCAGGATCTGCAACAGAGAACCAGCTCTATATTGGAGCAATGAAGAGAAGAGATTCTAAGACCTTAATAAATCAAAAAAAAAAATTACCAACATTAGTCTCCCAAAGAGTAATACTTGAGTTGATGAATCTACAGATAGCCTAAAAAGGTTGGAAAGCGTCTTCAAACCTCCAAATCATAGGCACGTCAGAAAGCTCATGTAAATATGATTAAACGAATTCAACAATGTAGGACTTCAAACACGCAGCCAACACCTCTGGTTCCCAAGGCATAAACATTTCAAAACTCAAAGAAAATACTAAAATCTGAAAGCAAACACTGAATAGGACAGAAACATGGAACTAGAGGAAGAAACGATAGAAAGAAACTAAGATGGGACGAACTGCAAAAGAAAACAAACAGTCAACACCACAGGGCATCTCAAGCTTAGGGCAACACCTGAGAATCCCAGCCCTACAGAATTCTGTGGAGTCCAAGAAGACTGCAGCCAGCACATCCAAGCCAGGCCTATCTGTGACAAAGAGCAGACCCCCAGAGCAGTTACAAAGGAATGCTCTGTAACAAAGAGGGAAGACAGAAGAGACAAGTGAGGAAAGCTACCCCATCACAACCCCAACTCCATCCCATAGACACATCCTAACAGCCCAGGACCTCATTCCAATGTGGAAACAAGAAAAAGAAGGTGAACAAACTATCTTATTATGTTAAAAACAACAGAATGACAGAAAAAGGAGAAAGAAACCAAGTAAAGGGTAGGAAGGGAAGAAGCAATGTATTTATAATTGAAGTCTCGAAAGAGAAGATTGGAGCAAAGAGGATAGAAATCGTAACTCTAAAAGTGTTCTTTCTCAAGTAACAGGGCTGACTGCTGTAAACAAGGGGTCTGTGCACTTAGAAATACTGACCCCAAAACAATCAACAAAATATACCACAGACCTCCGAATTTAAAGATAAAGAAAAAATTACTTTGGGCAACCAAGCAAAAACCTAAATCATTTATGAAAGAAAGTTGGAGTGGCATTAGGTTTCTGGACAACATTCTATCCATAAGCCACTGGGAAAATACAGTTCAAACACGTAGTAATGTAAGCCAAAAAGACCATAAACTGCCAAACTGTCCTATAAATACAAATGTGGTTTAAAAAAAAAAAAAAAAAAGCAAGCAGGTAGTTTTCTCATGGACAAATTTCCCAAGAAAAAAAATTCCAAAAAAAAAAAAAAAAGGGAAAATTCCCTAGAAATGAGCTGCAGAAAATTAACAACTAGAGAAATTGGATATGTGCTCTGAAGTGCACACGGACAATGCAAGCTTTAATAGGAGGTCCAGTTAGTTCACCATGAAGCCTTTCTTTTGCCTTTTATTATTTCCTGACATACTATCAATGCAAATGAATTCTCACATCCAATATGCTTCTAAACTGCATCCTCTGGTTTAACTTCTGGGCTTTATAATTTCTTCATATTTAATAAATGATATTTACAAATTAAAGGTTAATTATATCATTAAACTAAGAGATTGTTTTGTGGGGGAAGGTCAGAAAGGAAGTATGTGATACAGGTCCAAGGCAGTAAAAACAACTTCCAATAACAGACGTTTGCCTTTGTATTTACAGAGACCAAAGTGACAAAGAAAGACATCAAGCAACCTACACACCAAAATTGTCAATACTGACCTGATAAGCCCTGTTTATTTGATTAGCAGCCCAACTGGCATATTTGATGTTGTCCTTTTTCATTTTTGCACTTGCTTTTGGATTAGAAGCAATATGACTTGCAGACTAAAAACAAAAAAGAAACATCAAAAACAAAATTCTTTTCTAGCTATGATAATAAAAACATGCAAGAGTCATAGCTGTAGATAGTTGATAACACATTTTAAAATACTGAAGCAAAACAATTTTAAAATGAAAATAATATTGAATAAAAATAATGCTCAAAAATTAAAATATAATTTAAAATGGAGCATAATCCAAAATAACTAGACAAAGGACATTTTAAAGTATATCTAATATTATTTAACTATATATCTACAACAGCTCTTAAAGATAAAATCTCTAACACTGTGGAAGTGTACTTTATAAACCAAAGCATTTTACTTAGGATATTATTATTTCTTGCTACTTAAAAATATTAAATCTCCAATATCAGATTATCAAATATTAACAGAAAGAACTTCAAAAACAATTTAGCAAAACTTCCTATATTAAAAGGTGAAAATATATTAAGGCCAATAGAAATAATCTAGCTTGGGAAAAACAAGTTAAAGATCTCTGATCTAAGGAGGACACTCCTCTCTGATCACCTTGTCATCCCAGTGCAATCGTACACTACAAGCCTGCCTTTAAAACTATGTAATTTAATGAGAGATTCTTAGTCTAATATCTGCAAAATAACCTATAAACCTTCAAAACAACAGGTTGGATTTAAAATATATCTTTATACTTCTGGGAAGAGGAAGGTTGAACTTTGGTTGTATTCCTAAATACACCTTATTCTTATAAGGATCTGCCTATGAAACTCAGGAAAGGCTAAGTTTTCTTTTAAGGTCTCCTCATAGTCTTTGAACTCTCTCCTCTGAAGTCAGTGGGTTATCTGTATTCTTGCGGCAAATTTTTTATATGAAATCCAGGTAATGCAGTGGTTGAATAAAAACCAAATGCCGGGGCTGGAATCCCATCTTAAAATAGGAACTGTATGGTGTGTGTATCTCAGTTGCAGCATTTATGAATTTCAGGTAGCAATTAGAGTATGTACTTAAACAGCTGATGTGAAATGAAAACCAGCACTCAGCAATGTCCTGTACAAGCAAGGAATTCTTAGTAAAAGCTGTCATGCAGCTTTAAAGATGGCCATTATTTCTTAGACACTGCCAACACCGGTGCATCTCCAAGCCACTGTAATTGTTTCTGGTAGAATCAAAGAAAAATTTCTTTAAATTCTTTGAGGTAAACTTTAATCACATTTTGTTCCTGAAAATTATGTCATTTGTTTCTTATCACTATATTTTCAACCAATTATCTTTCACTGGCTTCAACAAAAATGGCATTCATCAAGAGTCAATAAAAAGAGACTAGTATAATATTGACAACTCTAATTGGATTCAGTAGATTTTTAAAAAAGCACATGAATCTGAGAAGGAAAAATGGGGGGAGGATATTGAAGGAGTAGAAGGTGAATTTTATAAAAAAATATTCAAGTTTGAAATTCTGAAATGATAAACTTTCAAAACAAAGGAAAAACAAAAGGTAAATTACAATGTCAAAGAACAAGGGAACCTGTCAGTTTCCCTGGCCTTTCTGACTGCAAACAGGTACCAGTCTTAACGATATTCTAAAGCTCCACAAAATATCCTGCTTCTTATAGTTCTTGTTAAACATTTTTATGGTCTTAATTGGCCATGCTAACTGATAACTATGTAATTTCACAAATAATTTTCAAACAGTTTTTCTATATCTTTAAAATATTTAAAATTTGATATACTATAGAGTTTTCTTCTAATACTTTTTATTGGCGTAGGTTAAAATGTCTTTTATATTTATAATTAGGAAAGAAGTACAGTAACACTGGGTACACACCCAAAAATATCAAACAAATGAACAATATATATTATGCTTTAGTACCTAACACTGTTCCATTCTGATATGGCGAGCACATCTCAGATGGAATGTCACAGAGCAAAGAAGTACACACCGTCACAGGGAAAGCTGCTCTGCAGCCTCCTGCTCATAATCAACTCTGCTCATCAACACAACAAGAAAGCACGCAGGGGAGACCGGGAGGCTGAGATGCCAGACTCTCTAGAGTAACGCTGAACACGCACACCAACTTACCATGTAAAGCCCAAACAGAGCTCTCATGTTTCGGTTGTTGAGTTTCAGTGCCTGTGCAAAATACTTTCTTGAAAGCTCAAGGTTTTCAAGTCCACCTTGGGTGTATTTGACCTGTTAAAAGTTACAGATTGCTGAAACCTGTTTATTTTACTGTTTTGAAATGTAACATGCTTCATCATAGATAGGCATTAAGTAATGAGGACAGATATTCCATAAACAAATGCAGCATGCTAACAGAATTCACTGTAAGGTCGTTAATCTAAAGTTTAAAACACACACTTGCCCTTGCCAAACTATTCTCTGCTATGAACATAGGATCAGAGTAGCTATAATAAAAAATATTGCCACACTAAAAAAGTATAGCACACTTTTCATTTCAATGGTCTTGCTGAGGCACAACACTGTCGTTTCTATTACTGGTATTATAAATCTAGACTCCAAATAGGAATTCTCTATTTTACATCTGCACTTTAATAATGGAAGGAATAGTTCTTTTATATCCTTTCATATGAAGTCTTTATACATTACAGTAGTCAATTAAACTATGATTTCTAATACTGTGCAAATTAAACACATATTTCCTATATTTCATGGATTGCCTAGAATATGTATTTAAAAGCCATCATCTTTATAAATGTCTCAGAAGGAATTAAATATTGACAATTGTGATTTAACTGATTCATAATTAGGAAGATCAACATAAATACTGTACGAAACTACAAAGAATTTCAGTTTATCTGAAAAGTTAGGATTTCAACTCAATATTTAAATTTTTTGCCTTGCATCCCCTCAGCACTCATTGGCCGTTCTAAAGTGCGGAGAGGCCGGCTTTAGAGGTTCTAAAGGAGGAAGGCGGGGCGCACTCACTTCTGCGTACTGCTGACAGTACAGGTGGTTGTGTGGGTTGCTCATCATCAGCTCCTCTAAGCAGAAGGCTGCCTTGGCATAACTGCAAAATATTAATGGGATAGAGAGATTTTAAGTCACAAACTTTCTTAAACATACTTTAAAATAATTTAAAATCTTAGTGACATTAGAGACTTATTTCTAAAGCTATTTAAGCAGATTTAAAGCATTTATTAATTCAAAATCTAATATGTAGACTTTTATTGAATTGAATAATAAATCTATGTTTAATCCCAAAGTAAGCTATGAATCAATGGCTATTATTCTCTAAAAGTTGCATCATTACAGTAGCACCTACACATCAACTGCACAGGAGCTACCCTTGGAGTTCTACATAGCATAGCTTCGATAAATTTACTATTAATGTTTAAATAGCTAAAGCAGCTATTTAACAAAATCCTGTCTAGTTGCTTTACAACCTTCAATATATCCAACAACAAAGACTTTCCATTTTTTTAAGACTTTTCATTTTTATATTCAAATATAAAATCAAAATAAAATTAGGTTTTTCTAAAGCTATCAATGATAGATGAAGTTTGATCAGATATTCCCTCCACTACTATTAAATCAAGTGGTGCTGAAAACATGCAGAGAGAGAGCTACCAGGAGGATTCTGGTTAAAATAGCTTTTAGACCATGTGATTATAATTTACCTTAATTTTATATGCTTAAAGCTATGTAACCATCCTCACTATTTACAGAAAACCCTTATGAATGCTTAGCTGTTGCAAGGTTTATTCCCAGTGAGGTAGTGACCCCACTCAACAGAACAAGGCTAACTAAAGTTACTTTTAGTATTTATCAATATGTGCATATTAACACTTTGCATCTTTTCTGAAATATATACTCTAAATCCACACTTACATACACAGTAATAAGTAATTTCACTACGTGTTCATTGTATGCCTTGTAATACTCAAAATATTTAAGTGTATTAACCTATTTTATCTTACAAAACACCCAAAAAAGTAGAAATGAATGCTGATTCTCTGCAGAGAGACGGGTACAGGGAGGTCAACTACAACCCAGGCTGGACCACTGAAGAGAGCCACGATATAAGTACTGCCTGACTTGCCTGGATACAGCTCCACACAGCACTATGAAAACTTGTGTTGGCAATAGTAATGAAACTGTCAGCTGGTACAGCAGTCAAACACACAGGGAATAAGGAATCAAATTCACCCTGGAAACTCCCCAAATCATCTATTTCTGGAGGATCTTACACACAGATTCCTAGCCAACTTCTGCAGTTCCTCAGCTCTTCTTATCTTTATACCTAAAACTTAGCATTCATTCTTGAAAAGGTATCCACTAAATAAGCAGACAAATAAAGGACCAGATACAAATCTAAAACAAAACCAGGACTCATCTAATAGCTACTTATCTAAAAAGTAAGGAGAAAGCACTCTCTGACATTCAATATCTAAAAATCCAATAGGCCACCAAAAATTCAAATTAAGGTTAAAATGAAATGTCCTCACAAGATTTAAGTGATTTTCATGCAGCATACAACAAGAGAAGGCAGGGAACAGTGCAGTTAGGTGGGTGGAATTTCAAGTAAATCTGATTGTGACTTTATGTTTTATTGGAGTTTCTAGGTTTTCTGCATTCGGTACTTTTTTTTTGTCTTGAAAAAAACAAGATTTCCTTGATAATTTGAAACTTTAAAACTGCTTTTAGTTAGGGATCTTCAAAAAGTACAAAGAAATTATAAATGATTGCCCCCTTT